GAACTAAATGTTTCAATGAAAAATGGTATTTGTGAATTCGTCTAAAAATAGGTCTGCATGCAATTTATTTGAAGTTGCAAGCGGAGACATGTCTGCAGAACGGTTATGTCAGTAAGGGTAAATGTTTCAAGTTAAAACGTCATACTTGAACGAAGCCAAGTGTCAGTCTACTAAGGAAAACCAAAGTGACTGGAAGAAAGCTTTAGGTCACAGAATTTCTTTGAGTTGTATCAAAAGTTTTACCTTTTTTAACTGAAAATGACGTTTACTACGAAATACACGACATGGATTTAAACATCAATCGATGGGAATTATTGGCATATTTTAAATACTTTTCAGGGTATTTGTTTAGGTCATCCATGCTATTCCTTATATAACTTATTGCCAGGAACAGCCACATACATGTGCTCAAGAGAGTCCAATCGTCTTCATCCACTCCGAGAGAGTTACTAGACTGCACAGCTGTCCTAAGAGCCATGGAGATGTTGTTATACAGGTTTTGCTCTTGGAGCGAATAACCCTGTACGATGACGTTTTGATCTGTGATTACACTTCCTGGCCTGCAATAAAAATAAGAGTTTTTACTTTTTGTGTAAAGGGAAAATCTAAATATACACTTTTTATATTTTAAAAAAGCATTTGCCATCCTGATATTTTAACTAATGATTATTTTAATATTGCAACTATTGATCCAATCCCAACACCTTTTTTGCATTTACTATCAAAATCATATGTGCTGTAACTGCAGGCATAGACACTATATTTATTTTGGTGACAGGAAGTTAGACTTACCTTACATCCTTTACTCTGACTGACACGTTACCTGGAACGCTGGGACTCACATGTTGCCGGTACTAAAAATGTGTTTTTAAATAGACGTTAAATGCTTATTTGTTGAGCTTGGCATTAATTCCAATGTGACATGTTTAAAGATATGATATGTCTTACGTGGGACATTGCTACAACTGATATGACTACATAGTTTTTATATATTTTTGTATTATCAACGCAATGTAGCGCACTTACACACACACGCGTACAATTATACATACACCAATAAACACACTTGTGTCATTTTGTGTCCACTATACGATTTGCCTTTGTTATCCCAACTTTGTAATTATGTTCTTCATGTTTTATGAGCAAAGGATCCTCATCAGCACATTGTGTGTTTTCTGTCCAATGCTCTCAAATCTATGTGAATAGAAAAAAAATGAAACAAATGTAACACACATCAACATTAAAAATTATCTCACCCATTCCTTGACCTCTGTACTGATGCTCTGAAAAGCCTCTGAATTAGAATCTCTCATCTCAGGCGTGAAGTTCCTAGAATTCATTCTAATGCTAGAATGGAACGCCATGGTACCTGTAATCATTGACAAAGAATATAGACTTATAATATAGACTGTTATTTTATCATTAACATATAATGTAATTAATTTTGATCTGACAGAATTGGGGAAAAAAACGCACCGGCATTCGGAGAAAAAAATACTAATAATTACACCAAATTAATATATAAAGGGTTAAATGCGCAACATAATACATTTCATTCAACATTATTCTTTATAGTTTACGAGCACATTTTATGATGACTGGTTATTCTAGAATATTTCTTTTCAAAAACGTTTTACCCTAAGTTTAACTTACTATACTAATCTTCAATAGTTTTATGATCGAATTATGATTTTGTCAGCGATCAGGTCACACATCAGGTCTCTTGGACTATCCTTAACCGAGACGGGGGTTGATACTATTTACTTGGTAACTTTGACAAGTAGCAGCGTGTCTGCTATATGTGTAAATGAAGAAATACAACCCGGTAAACTAAACAAGGTTAAGTATATATAATTAGCAATGTTTTACTACACACCATCCTGCCGTTAACCAGACTTTATAACATGCAAAAGGTAGATGCGAGTGACGGAACCTTTATGTACTCTTTGTAAAGTGTTCTTAAAGACTGTCTTTTTGTACAGTTGTTTGAGTACGAACCCTTTGGTAGCACAGTCACGATGCTTTCCTCAGACTCAGTCTGCCCACCTGTACTTGTCACTTTGCACGTTACCTTGTGAACACCACTTACAGCTTCATACCTGCAAGTGACACGTAAGCACCGGGTTCAAATGTTTATCATTATTATCATTTATTCATTTTATTATTTATTTATTAGCACATACATAACTAAAGTTATACAAAATATTACAATGCAAATAAACGTGCAAGGGGTAGAGGAAAAGTAACAAATACTTATTTGATATCCTCCTCATCATGATTTTACAATTTCTACAGTTATATCAAATGAAATATAAATAACAATGACGACTATGCCTTACATTGAACCACTCCGTTAAAAAAAGAAGCAATGAAAAGATAGTGAAGAAGTACAATGAAAAATGAATCACTTAAAACAAAAAAGATCAAGTTTGGCATAAGTATGTTTTCGAGCTATGCAGTAAATTCTGTATCAAAATCACCCACTTACGCTAGCTGGCTATACCTCCCAAACGTTAGTACATGGCATGGTGTAGAAAACAAATCTCTTAATTGTGAATCATGCATCATTAAGCGATTTTGTAACTGTGATTTTATTATTGACAGTCACTGTGGCGTTTATATTGTGTAATTATTGTAATCGTTTATCTCTTCCAGTTTTGACTATTCAGTTCTAATTTGTTTCATATATAAATATATGAAAATGTGTTATTCAAGTTATTCAAACTTATTTTTTCAAATTTGATACAGAATTTATACATGTTATAAGTACCAAATACATGTTATACATGTAACAAAAGTGAACAGTTCCTTCACGTTTCGGTAAATTTCTGTTCAGTGGATTTTGCATGAAAAGGAGTATATAAAAGTGTATAAAAAGTAACAACAAATGCTCGAATGAAAAACGATAGGTTCTTAACATTCCGGGTTTCAATAATATATCGAGTATACTGTGATGAATAATTTATTAAGTATACAGTTATGCATACACAAAGAGAGAAATTAGCAGCCGATTCATCTTATGTACAAATAAGAATTGACAGGTGACGACGACGTTACTAAAAGAATGTTTCAATCTTAGAGACTACATGTTAGAGAATATATAGTTAAACCTTAATTGTCACCACTGATATATATTCTGTATGTAATTTGCCACATACGTTTATTCTGTACGTAGGATGACGTTATCCATACATGTATTTTAATGGTTTTTATTGTCCAAACAGTACCCGTGCAGTCGCAGCCTTTATACGGCTGAATTGAAGCAGGGTATCACATAATCAATACAAATCACAACAATTACAACAATCAAATAATACAAATGATACACATAATATTTGTTCCACAATTATTTTTTGTGGAACTGTCGCAAGGGTCTGTGCGGCTGCCATTCGGCGCCACAAGGTGACCTCAATACGGCTTTCCCCAACCGAAGTTAGGTACCCATTCACACCTGGGTGGAGTGAGGAAAGTCGTGTAAAGTGCCTTTCCCAAGGGCACAACGTCGGGGCGCATGTTCAGACATGTACCGGGTACGACTCGGAATCGAACCCGGGTCTCCCCGGTTCATAGTCGATTGCTCTAACCACTACACCACCCGACGCCACCACGTTGTCAGATCTTTAGCGTTGTCAGATCTTTAGTTGTAGAAGACCATACAAAAGTCTCTGTACTTTTGTTATATATACTAAGCAACGGTTAAAAACTTACCTGAAGATAGGGCTTCTGTGATTTGGTACAACCTTTCCATTTACAGTCCACTGGTACTTAAAATTACCGGGAAATCCTGTTGCGTTACAGGTAATTGTGACCGTTTCTCCCACTAGAAGGTCCTGGATCTCTGAAGGACGTATGGTGACCTCTGGCGGCACTTTGCAATAAAAAGAACATATTTGTTGTGTACTGGATTATGATTTTTTTGCACAGTGTCACTTTTAGAAAATACCAAACGCTGATCTGTTTTTATTTGGAGATTTTTTTGAGTTTTAATTATGTTTTTTTTTATTGTTCTGCAACATCTAAACCAAAAACACGTCTAAAAATATCATTACTTAGTATCATTAATCCACATATATTTGGTAAATTATTAAGAATTATTCTGATGGCCATGATGAGATTTTTTTAACAAAATGAAAAGAGAAATAACGATGCAGCTGTAAAATATTTTATTCACACATAAGGCCATGTTAATTCGATTATATCTATGACATCCTCTGTGAACCCACAGACTGATGCGAGCGTGCGAAAAAAATGGTTTTATTATGAAATTTACGTAGTGATAAAGGTTAAAAATGACAAAGAGTATAGCATAGTGAATAATCTACTCTTCAAATTCATTTCTTTACATTTTCGTCTTTTTGTTTGATTTTGGCTTTCTACGACATTGGTATCGTTTTCCAATATTTTTTTTGCAACGTAGGGTATATATTTGCTCATTTTGCAACTGTTTTGTACGATTTACAGTTTAGTTGAAAACTTTGAACCGGCCAAATATTCATGCGCGATCGGATGCCATCCATATAAAAAAATCAACATGGCCTAACAAGAAAAACAGCTGTTCACAGTTGGTGGTTTGGATGCTCTCAGTCATAATGGGATCTGGGCCTGCGCCAAATACTGACTTTTTCCCTTAAAGGAGTTACCACACTCACTCATGAATGAAAGTAGGGGCCCATTATTGATGGCGGACAAAATCCTACTCACTTACATGCTCTAGAGATGTAAATTTGTACTTACAAGATGTCGGTAGCACCATCGACACAGTTGGTATATCTGAAAAAGCGGCATGAAAAACAATTGATGATATGTATCCATCAATTCTAGAGCTCATTGCTTGTAGTAAAACATCAAATGCTCCCAAGATATAGTCCACAGTTTCGGTTTATGCCAATAATTGGGGGGGGGGGCGTTTTCGTTAAAGTGAGTTTGAATGTTGCAAACGAAGGAAATGTACTTAATTCAAATACGTCGCTTAAAAGTATTTTGTATTGAGACTGCATGGCAGTAGTTATGGAACAGAGGAGCTGTGTACTGCTTGCCAATACTATAATACCTAATGCCAATACCACCCCTCTAGATTTATAGGCTATACATATCAGTAATATTAGAGTCGTCCAAATGACGTTATTCGGAATTTTCTCTCCATGGAAACAGCATAAATTATCGCCATGCCGTGCGACTAATTACCCCAGACTTGGAGAGAGAAAAAACTAAAGGGAAGCTACGACACGAAAAATACTTTATTTCCACGTACGGGAGAGATAGGAAAGATAGCACGACCAAAAACGTCAGTATGGAGGTTTGTGATGCAGAAGATAGCGGTGATTCTGACATGGATGACCAGAAAGCCTTCGAACTTCAGGCAAGAGGGGAGAAGAAACCGCAGGAACTGTTACCGCAGAAGGAGAGCGCGGCAAGACCCGGGGCGTCGGCACATTCGGATCTACCGAGTGAAGAAGACGAATTGGCGGAACTTTACGAAAGTAGGAAAACAGCAGGTACGTCAATGTTTTACCAAGACTGTATCGATATTTTCTGTACAACATATAAGATGTACAACAGATGTAGCGGGTACAGCCTATGGCAAAATATGCATACATAGTTGGTGATGCTAACATACGTACATGGTTGGTGATGCTAACAATATCTAACAGTTCTACTAACTGTACTAAGAATCTGGTCTACTTTCATAATTATACAATAAAGAGATACTAATTTTACTATACAAACTCTATTAATTGTAATATAATATTGTGTCAAAAATGTATCACATTTTCTCGTTTTGTCAGCGAATTGTGTATAAATTGGCCTACATATGTGGATGTATTGACAGGGCATGATAGTAGCATACTGAATATCTCTGTCTTTGTATGGGGTAGCGTTATATCGGTCTTACATGTTAAAATATACGACCGATTGTTCTCATACAGCTGCACCACAGTCAGTCGGCATGTTCACCTTAATTTACTCTGTCAGCCACCTTTGGCTGAATTTGTTGATCGCCACCTTGACAAAATTTGATCGCCCATTTTCAAACTTGAGAATCGGTAATTTTTTTGTTGTGTCTCGAGCATGTTTTTCGTCTGAAAATTTCCCGTCTTCAAGTTTATCTCTTTACATTTTCGTCTTTTTCGTTTAATTTTGGCATTCTAAGACATTGGTGTCGTTTTCCAAGATTTGTTTTGCAATTTACGGTATATATTTGCTCACTTTGCAACTGCTTTGTACGATTTACAGTATTGTTGAAAACGTTTTTATATTTTTGGAAACGGCCGAAAATTCATGCGCGCGCGGATGTCCATATAATCAAATCAACATGGCCTAATGGACAAGTGGTGGCGAGAAAATGACTTGCATACAACTGGAAGCCGCCATCACTTTTTTTTAAGTTTGCATTTACGTTTCTCTGAATTGAAAAAAAAGAAAAGTGGTCAATTTGATCGCCCATGTTTAAACTTGAGAATCGATCTTTTTTTTGTTTTTCGAGCATGTTTATCGTCTGAAAATGTCCCCTGACACATTTGACGGGACACGGCAATCTGCGAAGATTGGCCGGTCTCTGTAAATCTACAAATCGAGCGGTGATCAGAAGAGTACCGGATACCGGCCGCATTCCGCCTAAAAATATGCCTTTGTGCTCGCCGATTTGTTCGACGAGCTTTTTTTTCATTATTGTGACGCCGACTTAATATTCTTTTTCTTTTCATTCAGGGAAACATAAAATAAATGAATGGAAAAAAAGTGGCGGCGAAATAAATTTGTACGCAAGTCAAACTCTGGCCACCATTTTTTCGTTATGGAAAATAAAAACATTTGACAGGACACTCAAAGGAGTTAAGCCATGTACAGTAGAACTAAAGGCCTATACATTGCTATCTAGAGGGGGGAGTCTGCAATGTGTAATAGCTTGCATAGCTGTGATATCAGCCATCTTTTAAGTTAAGCAGCCGCATTCTGAACATTATGGTTTTTTTTTCTTCCCGTAGGTTTGGAATCTGCAATTTCTTGTTTTTGTTTGTTTTGTTTCTTTTTTACCTTAGTTAAGCAATGCCATAACTCAGACAGGCTACTTGTTCTAATTGTTTTTTTTAACTGATTGTTTGCTTCCTTTTACAAACAGTGCCCCCACCACCTGTAGTCCGACCGAAGGAACGCCGACCTCAGCCGGCAGATGTCCCCTCCCGCCCGCCAGACCCGATGTACGTCAGAAGGGTAAGGTACTTAGTAAATCTGTACAAGTTCAATAGAATTGAATTGACAATGTAAATATAGTACACAATGTAATTAAAGTAAACGCATGACGACTAGGCCAGATCTCATAGCTTGTTAACGTTAGACCGCAACATCTGTTATGTAATAGTATGTTTATCTGAAGTGTAACCGACACTGTTAACTGTTACTTGTTCCGAATTTTGTATGTTCTTGTTGTGAGGGCTAGCCCTTTATAATAGCCCCCGGTAGTCCTAGCTGTATATATATGATATGTCTTATACAGTCTAGTTTGCCATGACAGGTAGGACAGAGGTTCTGGTCCACTAAGAGGATCCTTGAGTGGCAGAGACAGGCGCTGTGTGCGAGTGAGGACCCAGGAGCAGTTTTAAAGCCTGTCCAAGAATATGGCGAGCAGAAGGATATAGAAACTGGGGAGACGGGTTTTAATGGCCATAGCCTTGTAGGCTTAAATGCAGAATGTCTACCAGCAGAGAAAAATGTTGCTAAAGGGGCCGCACTTACAAGTAACAATCGCGCTCTTCACAGAGGAAAAGGAGATACAACCAGTCAAAAGGCCCGACCAGACTTCTCCACTCATATCAACACAGAATTCCAGACAACACATGGCAACAACAAACGTAGAAAAGGACCGACAGAACATTATGAGAACCACAGAGAACACGCGGATCACGAAAACGCTAGAGAACACGCACATTACCAGAATGACGAAGAACATGCACATGACGAAAATGGAGAACAAGGACATTATGAGAACGATGAAGAACACAAATATTACCAGTACGATAAAAACCACGCACGCCACAAGAACGACCAAGAACACGGGCATTACGAAAATGACGGAGAACAAGGACATTATGAGAACGACCAAGAACACCAACATTACGAAAATGACGGAGAACAAGGACATTATGAGAACGACCAAGAACACCAACATTACGAAAATGATGGAGAACAAGGACATTATAAGAACGACGGAGAACACCAACATTACGAAAATGATGGAGAACACCGACATTACGAAAATGACGAGGAATACTCGAACTTCTCCACTCATGTTTATGCCGACTTGGACCCTGACTTTCTGGCAGCACAAGATGCGATCCAAAACGCCGCAGCTCAACCGTTCTATGAGATGGACATCATCCTTACGAATGAAGAACAGGAACAACCATTTTACAAGATGGACGTCACCGCTGCTGAAGACAAACAACAACAAGAACAGCCCTTTTACGAAATGAATGTCGCCTCAGCCGATGAGAACAGTGAACAAGTCTTCTACAGGATGGACAGCGATCAACTGGGCCAGCCGACTCCGTCAGAGAACGCGTACGAAGATATAGATGCCGATTTTCTGGCGGCACAAGATGCTGCGGTCAGGAGGCACGGTGTAGGAGATCCGAGCAGGGGTGAGTAAAGCCATGCTGATTTGATTATATGGATGACATTCTCTGGGAACCCAAAAACTGATACGAGCGTGGGAATAGAAAAAAAGTTTGGCCAAAAAAGTTGCTTTAAATATGAAATCTAGGTGGTTTTAAAGGTTGAACAAATGACACAGATTATGGTTTAGCGAATAATTTACCCTTCAAATTCATTTCTAAACACTTTCGTCTTTTTCATTTGATTTTGGCATTCTACGACATATCATTTCCCTATGATTTTTTTTCAACCTACGGTATATATTTGCTCATTTTTTAACTGTTTTGTACGATTTACAGTATGGTTGAAAACTTTTTTGGGGTGAAACGGCCGAAAATTTATGCGCGCGTGGATGGCATCCATATAATCAACATGACTTAACTGTTGCGTACCGAACCGCTCCTGGAGCAAATCTACGTTGTGGATACCTGACCAACCACAGTTCTGGACACACAAGAGCCTTGTCTCGAGCTCGTTCCGTGCTTGGGGCGTGGATAACCATGATTGACAGTAATTGCAGGTACAGTTCGGGACACAGTCAGGCTGTGTCCAGTTGTGCCTGCTCAGGCCAAGAACGGGACAGGCACTGTTCGGGACACAACAGTAACCTACTTCATGTTTGTGCACTTAGACAATTCACATTGAACAGTAAAGGGTACATTTAGTCAGACTGCCTAGTTGTTTTAAATGCATGGTATACAAAGAGAGATATATTAAAGAATATCTAGACATTAGAAATTACTTCAGTGATTGTGAAAGCACATAATAGCTACACACTTTTCTATATGTAGGTTTATAATACTAGTAGTTATGAAACTGTAGTATGTACAAGTACAGTAGATGCCACGTTTTGTTCCCCATAAAATTGTTTCGCGAAATTTTAAAGAGTCAGTTTAAAGGATTAAGACTGCTACAAGTAAAGCACAAATCGAAAGTGGTTTCATGATAGCAGCTTGTTTTTTTTTTTTGTTCCACAGAAGCTGAGAACGACGACTCGAAGTGCAGCCAGAACTGCAGTAAGTTCTGCAGATCTCGTCATGGCCGCATGGTGGCGCTTTGTGTTGGTGTCATCATTGCCGGTATTGTTGCAACTATAATCGCCGTGATTCTCAACCAGCACAGAGTACTGAGCATCAACCCTGACGAAAACACGGTGGTACGTTAAGTTGTATTTCTTTCAAGTAATAATTCGTTTGCATATATTTTCTCGAACATTTCCTGATTTTGTAATCATACTTTGTTTACGTTTTGTGTATATTACATGTGGGTTTTCTTGTTGAAATTTATAGTACGATCATCATGCTATAGTACGATAGCATTATATTAGTATGGCTTATTTTTTGGTGTGTTTATTTTTATCTCGACAAACTAGACTGTAAACCAGACAACACTTCCAGTGACCTCCACAACATCGTCTGCACTTCTGACTGTGACGTCATCACAAGCTGCTACTCATGAGACAACAGCTGGCACAGGTAATTAATTTTGTCACGGCTTTCACATATACATTTTAAGTACATATGTCTTTTTTCTTTTCTTTTCTCTAGGAGGGGAGTTCAAAATAGGTTTATATTATGTGTGTGATGTATATAGCTATGTATTATTCATACGTTTGGGTGTCTTATGAAATTGTTTAATTAAGGGTTAATAACCCGCCTTGAGGTGAATATGGTGTAATAAAACCTTTTCAGTTGCTTTAACCACCGAATGAAGCCACAGAGTGAGCGCAGCGAGCGAATATTGTTGATTATATATGAGCGAAAATTGGTGATTATAGCAACTGACAAGGATTTATCACACCATATTCACCGAGAAAGGGCGGATCATAATTAACGCTATTATCACATAGCCTATCAAAACTCACACAGTAAAGAGTGAGAAAATTCCTGTATAACACCAACTAAAATAGAGCATAGTTCCATCTGGAGTCACCTGAGGTGACGGAGGGGGGGGGGGTCGTGTTCTATTTGGGTCAAACACAACTCAAAGTCAAGTTATTTTTTGATTTTTAGAACAGAGCCATGTTCTATTTGTGTCACCCGAGGTCATATACGGGTGATAATTGAATTGTTTAATGTATGGATTGGGATGAATATTGAATGACCCGGTTTTAACTCTATATGTGACATTACGGCGCCATAAGAAATGTAGAATGGAGCCTTCTGATTGGTCAACGTCACCCAGCTATATCATAATTATCCATAATGTACAACCGGCGGCGAGAAAAAAAATTGCATACAACTGGAGTCCGCCGTCACTTTTTTTATGTGTATTGATGTTTCTCTGAATTGAAAACAAACAGTGGTCATTGGTTATTTCTTGCAGATTGGTGGGGAGAGTGGGCCCTCTACGTTCGAGCGTACTTCCAACAGTACAGGGACATCGCCGCGGGTTTGGAACAACGTTACCCGGACAATGAGGTTGTGAGGACCCTGTTGGAAGACAGGTTATTCTGGCCTATTGTTTGCAGGTACTGGAAACTCCACCATGATCTGCCGAAAACCTTAGACATGGCTGTAGGCAATGGCATTGAGTACGGAATTTCACGTGAGTACAGGATGTCACCTGGCTATCCACCATTGGGCGACTTCCTCTCTGCCATGTTGAACGCTCTAGAGGCACTACGGAACAAGACGGAGGCACTGCGGAACAAGCATGGTAAGATGAGTCTGTCTCTGAGCGGGCATGTGTTGTCTGACGCTGACGTTGAGGCCCTGGCAAACCTTTTCCCGTTTCTGAATAGAATGAGTGGACTCCATCTTTCAAACTGCAGAATTTCTGCCAACGCAGCAACAATATTGGCCGGGAAGCTACACCTACTGAGTACGCTGACTGTGTTACGTCTCAGTCGTAATGAGATAGGAGATGAAGGAGTGGCAGCAATTGCAGAGACTTTTCCTCACTTGAAACAGCTCCAAGTTTTATACCTCGAAAAGACTTCAGTAACAAACCTGGGTGGACGGGTCATTGCCAAATGGCTTGTCCACCTGCAGCAGCTACAAAGACTCTACTTGCGGGAAAATGAGCTGGCGCTCAGTGTCTCTGAGCTGGCAGACGCGTTTGCCAACATGACACGACTGGAGTATGTCAACATGTGGCCCGTCAGGTGCAGTACCGCGTCCTTCCGCATGGCGGCGCAACAGGTACGAGACGTACCCGCTGTGGTAACGGGAGCATGGTATTTTCCCATATATGCAAATATAATTCATTAATATATGCAAGATTTATGCATATATGCAAGCACGTGCAGACATTAGTACAACTTGTATACCCTATGTATCATAAGCAATCCATTCTACATATAACGTTGCCCCTTTGCACTCTAATTCTTTCTACCTCAACCTAAGGCAATCACACACACCCCTGCACACTCTTACGCACCCTGTGCACTCTCACGCACCCTGTACACTCCCACGCACCCTGTGCACCCCCACGCACCCTGCGCACTCTCATTCAACCTCCCGAACCTGATGCACCCTCACGCACCCTCTGCAACCCCATGCACCCTGTGCATCCCCCATGCACCCTGTGCACTCTCATTCAACCTTCTTCAACCTGATGCACCCCCATGCACCCTGTGCACTCTCATTCAACCTTCTTAAACCTGATGCACCCCCATGCAACCTGTGCACTCTCATTCGACCTTCTTAAACCTGATTCACCCCCATGCACCCTGTGCACTCCCACTAATACTGTAATTCTTGATTTTTTTAACATTCACTTGAGCAAATTCAGCAGTCAATATTCCACCGCTGTAATTTCATTACTGCAACTATTCGAAAACTACAACTACAGAAACAATTACCTTATTTACACCTTAAAACTTACGTGTCAGGTGCTTACCCCTTTTCCTCAAGCCATTATATAAAGAAAGACTAATAAAGAAAGGGCGTAGATAAGACAACAGGCGTTTACCGTTTTAAGGTCTCTTCGTGAGTAGGTTTAAGAAGGTTGAATGAGAGTGCACAGGGTGTATGGGGGTGCATCAGGTTTAAGAAGGTTGAATGAGAGTGCACAGGTTGCATGGGGGTGCATCAGGTTTAAGAAGGTTGAATGAGAGTGCATAGGTTGCATGGGGGTGCATCAGGTTTAAGAAGGTTGAATGAGAGTGCACAGGGTGCATGGGGGTGCACGGGGTTGCACAGGGTGCATGGGGTTGCACAGGGTGCGTGAGTGTGCATCAGGTTCGTGGAGGTTGAATGAGAGTGCGCAGGGTGCGTGGGGGTGCGCAGGGTGCGTGGGAGTGTACAGGGTGCGTGAGAGTGCACAGGGTGCGTAAGAGTGTGCAGGGGTGTGTGTGAGTGCCTTAGGTTGAGGTAGAAAGAATTAGAGTGCAAAGGGGTAACGTTATATGTAGAATGAATTGCTTATGATACATAGGGTATACAAGTTGTACTAATGTCTGCACGTGCTTGCATATATGCATAAATCTTGCATATATTAATGAATTATATTTGCATATATGGGAAAATACCATGCTCCCGTTACCGACGCTGTCCACTCCCTAGCAGGGCAGGTGAAACACCACAGGGTTCTTCTGCTGTATGACGGCTCTAGCAAAGCTGTTACACAGGGACTGGACACAGCATGGCGACAAGTTGAAGATAAACTTACATCAGGGGTATACATATCAAACCGACAGTTGAAGATAGACTTCAAGCTGTTGGTTTCTGATGCTGGACACAATCCACCCAGAGGTTTTAATTAACACGCGATTTCCTAGGCCCCTTTTCCCGAAAAGACTGACATTTGGCAACTTGACAGTTCTCTTGTCATTTTTGTAGAGCGAACCGTGATCATGACCCTGACCATATGAACAATGCAATGACTACCCCAACTACACTCAACAGCGAAAGGCCAGCAGGTGCCGACGTAAAGGAGGGGGGAGGGGGTCATGTGATGTAATCAAGCTATTGTGGTAGCAGGACACAGTTTGACGTAAGAAAGTGATATACGTAATGCGACTGTGCGAGTAAAAGGGTGCTCGGTAGAAGGTAGAACGATATAGATATGCCGCAACGTATACTACTTTGTGCCCGTACTACGGGGTTCGCCCATAAAAACTGTGCACTCTGACCTTGCGGTCTAAGAGCTATAAATACACGCTACCACAATAGCCCGGCGCCCTTCCCTCGTGCGTCATCTAATTGGTTTCACGTCATTGAAGATAAGGCTAAAAAACCCTTCACACAAAAGGTGGTTTTGGTCTAATTAACCGGAGGAAGTTCCCCTTTTTGGCCGTATTCATTTTCCTGCTTCTGACTGTATTCTTTCTTCATTGTCAAAAGCTTTGAATTAACGAACTTGTCTGTTTGAATTAGTGTGAAGATAAAAAACACGGGGATACTCGATAGCGTTGAGTTGTTCATCCACGTGGCCAAGTTATTGGGATTTGGAATGTACAACCCATTTCAACTCTTCCATCTCATTTACTTCATCTGTATGTTGTTGTTGTTGTTGTTGTCTCTGTTACTTCGCTCATCACGTCGAAATATGCTTTAAGTTCCCGAATGAGGACAAGTACCCATCTTACACCGGAGAATAAAATTAAATCAAATGTAAAGTGTATTTCCCTGACACAGAACTGCCAAGAATCAAGAATAACCGATGTTCTCTCAATATAGGTCTTTCCACTCTTCAATTTGACGATGCAGTGCTAACACCTAGAACTACAACGTAAGGAAGAACACTTGTGAAGTTATGCAATTACCCTGGATGCAAGAACTCGTTTTTCGGGCGGCAAGAGGCCTTCGCCCGCCGGTCAAAATTACCGCTACGGGGGAGTCTAGCCCGGGGGGAGTTTGGCTGATATACTCCTCTGCGGGCGAAGATTCTGGCTGCCGAAAAAAAAAACGGTTAGCGGCCTGTAAACTTGGCTGGCACCCATAGTATTATGCAATAAAAAATCACGACATACCTTGTGCCGAAATCACACTGCAATAGAAAAGTAGAGGCAACCCGAGTATCCACACCGAGTGTTTCATTTTTACATGCAGAATCTTGCCTGTATCTGTATCTGTATAGCCGGTATAACCGCCAGTATACATGGCCTTATAGGACGAACAACGCGTTCTCCTAAACTTGAGACTCAGGAAGAAAATCGGCTCATCAAATACTAGGATGGAAGGCAGTTCTGTCCAGTTGTAGCTAGAACCGGCATATAGAGAGAACTGACCACATCAGGAAATGGCCTAACAGTTATAGCATATCACTTCTGCTTTCAGCCACGACTATGTATACCCCAGTAAAATTGCATGATGGATTCTTGAACTCTTGGTCTTTGACTGAAAGATACCAATTACAAAGGATAATTTATGCCCCATTTCAAGATTATACATTCTATGTTGTTTACGACATTTAGTATCAAGGAATTCCTCTTGTTATTTCTGGAATTCTTTGTATTAATGTTGTTTTTGTGAGTACGTATGGGGCCTTGCTTCTTGTTGATAATTACAGCCCTCAGGGGACGACCGATTTTTACATGCCACCGATATGACCTGTCACCTCTGTCAGGTCTGACGCGTTTCTCGTTCAATTAACCTTTTGTTTACATGAATAACTTGTACTAAATACCATTCTATATTACTTAATAATAGTTTTTTCTCAATATGCTTCCCTTGAATAAAATCTTGAATGGCCTCTACACGGCTATACTAAGAATTCATGCGTATTTTGTATCTTATTTGTTTACTGGTCTGGAAAAAATGGCGTCCTTAGATTAAATTGACTATGCGAGTGTGTAATTGAATCATAGTTTATAGGCACACCCGTCTGTCGTCTGTACTTTATGTGATTTGAGTGTGTTGCGGGGACAAGTTTATGTGTTTAGTCAAACTTAGAGTACTTGTGTTCGTATGTAATTTCAAACAATGCAAATGACCCTCAAATGATTTTTTTTCCAAATCAGCCAGGAGGGGATTTTTTTGTTCGTCACGAAGGGGAACTTCGTCACAATGTCAGTTCAAAAATAGGATTTTTTCTCCAATTCAGCTAGGAGGGGATTTTTTTATTCATCAGGAAGGGGAATTTTGTCGCCATGTCAGTTCAAATACAGGATTTTTCTGCAAGTCAGCCAGGAGGGGATTTTTTCAGTATATCTCGAAGGGGAATTTTGTCGCCATGTCAGTTTAAAGATAGGATTTTTCCCTAGTCAACCATGAGGGGATTTTGTTAGTTCCTCACGAAGGGGAACATTGTCACAATGTCAGTTCAAAAATAGAATTTTTTTGCAAGTCAGCCAGGAGGGGATCTTCTTAACTGGTCACGAAAGGGAACTTCATATTGCTATCAGATATGGTCTTAATATTGCTGTCAGATATGGTCACATACGGACAAAAAGACACCTACTATAACCTTTGACCCATCTGCCCCCCCCCTCCGAAAAAAAAAACACAAGAGCGCATCAAAACTTTACAATTCTACCGGTCAGCCGACAAACAAAAATCCAGCTGTCATATACAGTGTCAAGGACATAATTCCAAGGGCCAGCACGTCGGCAGAAAGTACTGCACCTGCGTGAAACCCGTAATGTATTGTGCATAGCACTTCGGTAGAACGTCTCATATAAGGTTGTATTCGCGCATATAAGGTTAACACTCCATCTGTAGTTTCCAAATGTTATGTCGGAAAAGATATCTTCTGCAACAGGCAAAATTTTGACGCAACGTTGACCAAAAATTCACCGAAAACCGTGAAAATACAGGGTGCTGCGCAGGCGCAGTACGTTCTGCCGACGTGCTCATACAACCATCCCTCAGGGAGTCACGTGTGTTATCTGCTTGACGTCACGGAAGCGGTGGATTGCTCATCCTTTGAAAAAGACTGGAGTTGTACAGTCGAAAATTTGGGTGAGTCCAATTTGTTGTGTTGGAAATTGCAGTTTCATAATGATTTCTACCAACACAAGTGAACTTTCAAGATACAAATCCTGCTTAAACATTTATCAACATATACCAATAGACTGTTAACAGTTGGTAGGGTTACAATTTTATTGGGACCTGAATCACTCTGACATTTACAAAACGAACTTGATTATTGTATTTGATATCTTCTCTTTGTTGTTACAGTACAAAGAACTTAAAACTATATAATATAGAACGGCTCTGGGAGGTATCACATTAATACAAATGTTGAAGATAAAATACAATCTACAGCCGTACAATATCACTTAACTATATAATGTATTATTCATGAAATGACTAAAACGGTTTCTTTTACCTTTAACTGTTTTGTTGGCTGTTTTATAAGTCAACAGCGCATGGATTATCCAATTCTGATTTCATCTGTAACTGTAGGATACGACTTTATTTCCTGTGAATATTCCTAACACAAACAGACACTCTCCGGCTACCATATCTCACACAATTGTTTACCCAGTGTGGTCTTCAGTATTCTGTGACATAGAAGTGGATTTGTAATGACAGGCATGTATTTTATGAAATATTATTATCCATAATATAATAAATATCTTATATTTCTACTATTGTTGAATGTTTATAAGATAAGTTACATATCGTCGAATGTCTTACTCAAACCTGTTTTACATTGGTTGTTATTTCAATTCACCGTCAAACTGCGAGAGTAAAGATATCTTGTATCTGTTCACGTAAATAAAAGGGAGTATGTTTAGGCTAGCTGTCACCAATATAATGAAAGTTCCCGAATAAATGTTCATAATTAAAGTACAATTATTGCTAGAAGACCTAAAAATAAGTTTTCTACACCAGGACCCAACCGTCAATTAAAAATCATAGGGATATCTGGAATAGATTAACCTAAAATATTGCTGTGTTCTGTAAGTCATAAGTTCAAAAACAAACTTAACACTTTTTACTACACAACCCTTCTTACAGTTTGTTCTTTTCAGTTCACTTGTTTATATGCATTTATTGATATGGATTAAGTTGTCAGTTACTTACGTTATGAGATATTTATACCTAATTGTTATCATTTGTTATTATTTTGTTTGTTGATTAAGCTATGTGATATTATATTCATGTATAGTTTTTGTTAAATACAGATTCTTTAGATATTTAGTTGTGGGGTAGGCTTCCACAGCACGATCTTCTTATGTATTTTCTTTCTACTGGTTTACTCATTTTTAATATCATATTATTTAATATGTGCCAAAATAAAGAATAAAATACAAAGAACAATAGTAATCATGGTCTCTAAAATTCTTTTGCACCAGATATGATCCGAATACATCAACTACTAGTATACAATTACAACTGTTGCTTGTAATTAGTATGTAACTGGTACAAAACTGCTGAGCTGGAAGTAATGTGATGTGATCCTGTTTTCTTCCTTTCCTTTACATAAAGGTTTGGCTACATAATAACCATTTCTCCGCTACCCCAAGCGATTCCTTTTAATATTTATCAGATTAAGACGTTCCCATAAGAATCAGATTAGACAAACCATTTCTCGTAAAAGCAAAAAAATGCTAAGTTAACGCGGAATCGCACAGAGTTTAAACGGATGTGGCGGCAACGTCAGACCAAAGACGCCGTCCGTGTTTGGAGGAGGAGCGCCCTCTGGCGTCCTGAAGGTGAAGGACTGCAGCAGGGTCGAGAAGAACAGGAAAAGCTCCATCCTGGCCAGCTGCTCCGCAAGGCATGTGCGTCGGCCTGGAAATAAAAAATAAAGAGTTGTTAGTCCAGGAAGCATCTGTAAGAGAACTGAAAAGGATACTCCTCCCACCCCTGCAATGTCTTCCATAAAGAGAACAGTAGAATCTGAAGAGCAGAAAAACTTTTACTCAGTAGGACGGACCGGTGTCAAAGCGATCTCGCCCCCAGTGATTTCGCCATCCCCGCTAGTGATTTGGTCCCTCCACCTCGCCCCCCTTTAGCAATATCGCCCCCACCAAAATTCAATTGTTTCCTCAAAAACTTCCGTTTAAGCATGTCCAAGTACACAAATTTGTTAGAGGACTCTAATCATAGTATAGATTGCAAAGTTCATTTGAATAAAGATGTGAGATTTGAGAACGCACTAGCACACCTGAGCCTACTACTCTAGCTAAAAGTTGTGAGAAACCGTGTCTAACATTTGCTGAATTCCTTCTAAACTCTGAAGTTTTATACTTGCTGCCGATTCGCAGATGTACTATCTCAGGAGAAGTACTAGAAATGGACAGAACCTGAAAATTATATTCCTAAGGCAAACACACAGAGATATAGTCACTCTGCAATACTATATCTAACACGATTGTCAAACCATTATGGTTACTAGGCAGTAGTCTTGACCACAGATGTGACACACCCCAAGACATATTGCATCTTGATGACATAAACGTCATAAATACCTCCTCCAAAAGGCATGAAGGACTCAGGCTTGTTGATGACGTTCCCTTCCGCGTCCAGAAACCTTTCGGGGTCAAACCGGTCCGGATCAGGCCAGTAGACGGGGTCCATATGAAGGGAGTACAGGTTCGGCAGTACCTAGGTCATACAAAATAGAAAATACGTCCATACGTATACATACATGCACACACTGCAAACAAACTGCAAACTACGATAAACGTTAGTATTATAAGATAGGTATTATAAGCTATAAGATACATAAGAAAACAGATCCTCATGAAACTTGAGAAATTTTGAAAACTGAATCCATTTTAGCAATCTTAGAAAAATCATGTGTAGACCTATGAGAGATGGCAATACCTGGGTTCCCTTAGGGATGTCATATTCCCGTACTTTGACCGTCTCTGTGGTGGTGTGGGGGAGCGCAAAAGGTATAATGGTCCGGATCCTCATGACCTCCAGCAGACAGGCGTTCACGTAGGGCAGCTGGGAACGGTGGGACAGGGTGAGCAGACTCTCACCAACAATGGCATCAAGCTCCTGCTGCACCTATTGAAGGTACATTGTATTAATGTAGGGGGCATTGTATGGTGCCCAAAACGTCGTGAGAATGCACAGAATAATGATAGAGAGCCAGTAGGGAACGAAAAAAGGAAACTGGCAGTTTTGAAGAAAAAAATGTAAAAAAGTCTATAGATTTTAAGTGATCTATGCCAGACTGTACGTAGTCTTTTAAAGGTTCACAGGGTAGCGTATCATGCTGACCAGTACCTTATTTTGTATGTCGTAGTTCAAAGCCATGTAGAGAAGACCCCACAGTAGTGTGTTGCTGGTTGTGTCTATTCCTGCAAAGAAGACATCCTGGGCAATGTACAAGACGTGCTCCTCTGTCAGACCCTCCACCTTCTCCTGCTTCTCAACCTCCAGCAGGCAGAAGTCAAAGAAATCTCGCGGATTTTTGCGATCCAGGTTTTCGCGATGGCGAGATATCTCCTCTCGTAACACTTTTTGGACCTTGGAGACCTCTTCCAACGCATTGATGCCAGCTCTATTTACTGCAAAATGCAAAGACTTGGTTAAAAAAAAAGCTTCGCGAGGGATATAGAAAAAGATGGATGTAAGACTAGCCGCTTGTTAATGTATGTTAGACGGAAAAATCCCAGTTTACCGTAAGTTTAATCTGTAATTTCCAACACAAGGAATATAAGACCAAACTTTTCAAAGGTACAACTTGAGTCATGCAGAAAATGACAGGGGGCGGCACAGACTCTCTGCGCCTTACCGAGTCACGTACATGCCATCTGCATAACGGGACGTTACAGAAGCGGTGGATTGTCCGTTCAAGGAATGGAGTTGTACAGTCGAAACCTTTGGGAAAAAGAACTCTTTGTGTTGAAAATTACAGTTTAAACCTATGGCACAATGACTTTCAAAAACACAGATGAACTTCCCAATCCAAAGCTGGTGTGTTACGCAGAAGGGCGGCTATAATACCGGCTACACAGATAGAAATACAGAATACGGTACGTACCGATAGGAACAAACCGTAGCAGGGGGAACACGCTGATGATCTGCCCAGCCCCATTTTCAGCAACGGTCTTGGCCACCGCCTCTGACAGTTTCCGGAACGTCTCGTCCCTGCAGTCGTAACGCGTCCCCATCACTAAGGAACAGATGACGTTTGCAACCGCTGCGGTCACGTCATGGGTGATGTCAAAGGGCTCTTCATTGTATTCTGCAATCTGAGAAAAAATGCATGCAATGTGTTGGTATAATACATTTGATCATCATCATATCTTGTCGGCCCACTGCTCCAGCCAGTCCAGGGCTTCCTGGTTAGCATCATACCATTTGATAAACAGGCTTAAACTAAAGGATCAACACTAAATAAATTGGGGTCGTGGGCTCGTGTGGCGTAGCGGCAGAGGGCTCGACTAGGAATGAAGAGGTCCCGAGTTCGAGTCCTAACATGACACTAATCTTGTGCCCTTGGTAAAGGCACTTTAAACGACTTTCCTCACTTCGCTCAGGTGAAAATGAGTTTCATTGTAGTGTATTGTACCATGAGTTGGTGGCGGCATTAATATAAGTTGAAAAAACTTGAGTGTGCCGTCACCACGTCTTGTGATAAGATGTTGGAATATATATAAAATAAAAAAATAAAATAAATTGGGACCGGATTTCTTTACAAGAGGACTAAAAGAGGCTGTGTAAATGATCGGGCGAACCGTTCAACATTGAAAAGCGGGGGGGGGGGGTGACACAGATTATCTGACACGTATGACCCTCTGCAATCACGTGGGGCCCGTCGGGCTGTTTGTATGAACGAAAAATTATCAATTCATATCAATAATATGCAGAAATAGTGCCCATGGTTGATATTAGGAACTTTTCTGTATACTGTTGTCTTTTGTATCGTACTTTCCGTTCCCAAAAGCTGCCCGGCCGGGCCCCGTGTGGGAATTGTGATCTCAGCTTAAGCTGCAGTAGACAATTCAATTCCCTTAGCAATGTGGAAGGTGTCAGCCAAGAATTTGGGCAAATCCCAATTTTATACTATCAGTATTGGACATAAAGGTGAACCTTTTCGTCATAATGTATTATACCAACACATAATGTATTTTAAAAACCAACACAGATGAACTTTCATGCTATGGGTTTCTCATTGGTTAAATCTCACCCTGTTGCGGAGACTGCTTGCCTCCTCTTGTGTTTTCTCCTCCATGCTGCCAGCTCCGATCTTCATGCCCAGGGTCTTCAGAACGGTGGTGGCGAACCGCTTTCTCTGTTTAAAGCTGGTCCCCCAACGTCCAGCACTTATGTCTGCAGGAACAAACAAAAGAAACATCGAAAGAAGGAATTAAACTATATAGCTAGTACTCACGACAAAATTCAGAGAAGCTTTCAGGTGGCTTCCGCCATCTTTCTTCAGCTCATACGAGGGGTCACGTGACCTAGGTGTCAAAGGTCACCCTGGTCACGTGACTGGACGAGGGATGCCAAATTAATGTTTTCAAATAAACTGAACCTAATGGACTATTGTGCAAGTGTTAGCTTGATCATGTGTATGTATGGCACTACTCACTATCGACAGTAACCTTAGACTACAACTAACTTTAAAAATTAGTGAGTAGTATGCAGAAAATTTTAAAGTTTGACGCTATAATTTAAAAGAAAATTTATGAAACAATATTTTTTAAAAAAATGTGACATGAACATATTAGATATCGAAACCACTGGAGTACCACAAGAAGTTACCATGGGGACCGAAAGATATATGAATATTAAGGAAAAAAACATAATATACACTTCTAAACATTGTTACAAGTTTCCTAACAATTTATTCAAAGTATTTTAAGTTAGATTTAACGAAAAATTCCCCGAATCATCTGTATCAACTTAGAAATGTACAATAAATGCAAAAAAGAATGTATAAAGATTATCAATCTTTACAAGGATATAAATAGTACATGTGCTACAAAAAGACAGAAATGACATGAGAAGAACAGCACTATACTGAACACCTGAGAGATTAATTACGTTCTAAGATCACATATCTAAAAACTGTTACGAAAGAGCTGAAGATATTGAACCATATTTTTTTTTATTCCGAAACATGTAATCACAAGACGTGGTTAAGACACACTCCAGTTTTTATCTCGGCCGCCTGAGCGGCCGAGGTATTGTGCCCCAAAATAGATACATTGGATGTCGAAATGGATGTTGAAAAAATCTTGATTACGACCGTGAAAACCAATGAAACCAATTACTCTGCATGTATACTTTACTTTGTGGCGTCGACCTACCGGATGATAGTGTCGTTATTCTTATACAACGAAGTTGCTAAAAAAGAGGAAATGCTGTTTACCACAAAACCATTGTTTTATATCATAGTATGCATTTAATGTTCTAGAATTTCGCTAATAGCTGCTGTAATTGGACCAATATATCAATGACATAAATTATGTTCATTAGCTGGCATATTTGCCTAAGTCGCAAGATGTCGCTTTTGATTGGTGAATAACGCATGAGGCTCGGATGTAACGCATGAGGCTGGTAAGGGCATACTTAGCAAAAATAACAAAATATCAGGAATTATAAGGGTATTAGGCATAGAGCCATAGGATAAAAATAGAGCTAAAGATACTACGGGCAAGGGCAATCAATTACATTGTGTTTTATTTGTGCTGTTGAACAGATTTAAACAGAGTTACGTTATCGCCCCCCTCCCCCCATTGAACGTGAAAATTTATGAATTCGTGCGACCTAACATTATGTTAGTGCATGGCAGGCTAAGTTTCTTGCTTTAATGCCAGGAGGTGCTCGTCAATTTTTAATGTCTTCTCTGCAATGTTCCGGTCGTATTGTATTTAGTTTGATTCATTCCTTTTCTGAGAAATTGTAACTTTCAGTTTGGGGGGGGGGCAGCCATGCACGTTCTATATACAGTACACTCCACTGGATTTTCGTATTAAACTGGGTTTCCATTAGCTACTGTATTGAAGGAATAACTCAGTGCATTCAAACAATCTAATTCACTCGCAAATTTTCCAGATTTCGAAGCTAATTTGCAATTGTATAAGGTAAATTTTCCCACCAAATAGCATAAATGAATCTCTATGTATGAGAAATTTTGAAGACTTTCCATGTGCTAATAGCAAGAAGTATTCAATATGCATGTTCAATTGGATGCTATACTGATCAAGAAATTATTTTTCTTCTCTTCCAGATGTGTCTTGGATTGCCCTGTTCTACACCAGACATACCGGAGCCATGTTGAACTATATATATTGCACTTATTATCAATAAAACCACTGCCATCGTACACTGTACTCTTCACTCATTGTAACCTCTGCCATCGTGCACTGTGCTCTTGCACACATTGTAACCACTGCCATCGTGCAGACCAAACCCTGACATCGTGCAGACAAAACCCTGCCATCGTGCAGACAAAACCCTGCCATCGTGCAGACCAAACCCTGCCATCGTGCAGACCAAACCCT